GTCTCAGCTGCTATTTGGGCCTGAGGCTTTACAGCGGATGGAATAGAGACAGCCCCTGTCCTGTTTGCCACAGTATTTCTCTTTGCATTTTCTTTTTTGTTCTCTCTTCTCGTTGTGTGAACCAGTTGCTGCTGTCATTCTCCCTGGCTGGGCTAGGGGGTTCTCTTGGGCTTTCTCTCCTTCCACTGACTACTGTCCCAAGAAGACTGCTCTAGGGTTTCTGTTCTTTGTCCTGAGAGCTGGCTTTCTCTCTCACCACCTGTCCAGGCACCATAGTCCCATGGAGAATCTGTGTCTCTGGCTCCCCTAGTTAGACACACGTAAGTGGGTGCCCATTATGTGTTTAATGGCTTGAGAGAGGAGCTGTCAGGTGCTGGGTCGTGGGGACTGGCGTCTTAGTTTCTATCTCTGCCTTTCCATTCTCGGTCTACCCATGGCACACTTGTCTCTTGTTCTCTGGGATGCAAGCTGAGACTCCAGAGCATGTCTCTCCTGCCTTGGAGAGGGCAAGACCCCAGAGTCCTCGCCAAGTGTCCCAGAGGGCAACTTGGCCCCTCACTCCCCTTTCTGCCCTACCCCATCTCCCAGCTTGCTGCCTGTGCCAGTTGCCTGTTTTGCTTCAGTGTTTGATTCTAGCACTTAACATGTGTCTTCCCTGACCAAGCCTTCCTGTTTCCTACCCCCTTGACCCCTGACCGCCTCCGCATACAGTGTCTTCTCCTGGGAGGAAGAGGGAGCAGGAGCTGATGGCCTTGGTTTGCACAGAGCGGGTAGGGTTTTGGGGAAAGGGGGAGCTGTTGTGCTGCTGGGGCCTCACCTTGGGCCCTCCCTTCAGGCCCTGCACTATGATGTATGAAATGTATGTACAGACAGATGTTTATACAGCCAATAAAGATGGAGTTTCTGTATTTATCAGCATGGCAGGGGCACAGGAGTCCTTTATCAGTATGTAGGGCTAGGGACATGGCTGGAAGTGGGGTCATCTTGCTCACTGGGACATGTGGACCCATGTGAGCTCAAAGATGGGGACTGCATATGTCCCATGGACCTGGTGTCGGGCCTGGAATGCCCCCAGAAAGCACAGGTATGCCCCTGGGAAGCAGGCTTTGCCCTTCCTGTGAACATGCACAACTCCAGCTCCAACTAAACATTATAGAAATTCTTTATTATTAGACAAAAATAGACTCTTTTTTTCCCCCTTTTTCATGTGATCTCACTCTGATCTCTCTGTTCAGAGGGGAAGGCAGAGGAGGGAGTGTGTTGCTTCCCACACCTCTCTGCCCTCTCCTTGCCTTCTGGGACCTGCAGCTGGGTGGAGCTGGCTCCTCTCCAGGGCTGATGTTCTTGTGCAGGTAGGGCTGTCCTGATCCCCTCCAGAGCTCAATAGCTGATGCCTCCTCACCCTTCACATGCCCATCTCTGCCATCTCACGTGCAAGGTCATCTCACTGCCCATCCACTTAGCTTAGCAGGCTGGGGGCGGGGAAGGAGAGCAGTGTCCCAGGCTCATGCCCACTCCCCATTCCTAAAGGAGGGGGCCAGCTCCCGGGTCTCCTGGGTCTAGGCCAGGGGAAGTGAGGGCTGTGGGGTGCTGGGAAGGGTGCAGTGTTGATGTGGGCTCCGAGCTTGTGGCCTTCCTTCATTTTCTCTGTCCCAGTAGAACTTTGGTGATGAAGGTGACAATGGCACCTGCAGGCTGATCTGGGTCAAGCTCTGCAAAGAGGTGACACACATTCTCCCAGGGACTTCCCGGTTTCTTGGCTACGAAACCAAAGATCCTAGAGGCACAAAAGCAGGGTAGGGAGGGGGCTCAGCACCCCTTTCACAGGGGACTGCAGAGCCAGGGTTGGGGAGAAAGGAGGTGCCTCGATCCCGTGGAGGGAAGAGATTGTGCCCATGGAAAGGCTTACTTGGAGGTGGTCCCATCAGGGTTGGTCCATCTGCAGAAGGAAAAGAACTGTGAAGGAATGTACCCCAGGAAGTAGCTACTGAATGAGGAGCTACAGCAGGAGACTGGTCTATGGGGCCTGATGGGCCACGGTGGGGCTATAGGAGGAAAGGGCTGGGAGGGAGGGTCACCTCCGGTCCTGAGGATCAGTGCTGGAGAAGGTGATGCTGTTCACTGGATAATGGCGGCGAAAGAAGAGCCTGTGAAGGAAAGATCAGGGTAACGCCCAGAAATTGGAGCCCCTGGGGCCTAAGCTTGGGGTTTCCCAAGGGCTCAGAACACATACTCACTTCCTTTGGTTGTCTGTCAATGTAATGCCCTGGGCTGAGACCTTGAAGTGGACAATGGCTGGTGTTGGGCGGGGGCTGCAGCTCAAAGCTGCAGAGCTGGCCCGGGCCACTGCCTGGGGGCCAGTCAGTGACTCAGTCTCCACTGAGGTCAGGTAGAGCACACTGCAGGCTACGGGGGCAAGAAGTGTGTTGGGGGGATCCTTTGCCAGACCCCAGATCTGTCTCCCCCTAGTGCTCCCACACCACCAGCTCTTGCACTTTCTCCTGCTAACACTGCTCAAAATGCATTAGAATTACATAGGTAACCTGTGAAAAAGGCAGATTCTATGAATCCCCCAGATCTAGTCAGAAATGCTAGAAGGAGGCCTGAGGATCTGTATTCTAACAAGTCCCCTCTCCAGGATTCTCATTTTTATAATGAGAATCTGAACTGAGGACCCCCTTTTTCATACCCTACAAATATTAGGCTCCCCCTGCCTTCATGGGTTAAAAGCATCTGTCAGGGCCCACCCACCTCAAGGCCTTTCAGTGCTCTATGCCTATATCTGCAGTGCCCCGCTTGGTGCCCAGAGAGAGGGAAGGGTGGAGAGAGAAGCCCCTACCAGCGCCCTGACGCAGGAGGTCTGCCGCTGTGCTCATGTTGGGGGGCACTGGGGCTTCTGGGGCCTCATCCAGAGGATCTAAGGGAAATGAGGGCCAACAGAGCAGGTCAGTAGAGAGGAGCATTCCCTAGGAGCTGGAGAAGTCCCTCTGCCATCCCAAGGAAAAGCAGGCTGGGAACCAGGACCCTGGATTCTGTCTTTGGCTGCAGTGGAGAGGGATAGGTGAGAACAGAGATGATAAAACACCCACCTTTACTGGGAATGCGCAGGCAGCAAGGCAGAGACAGCGGGGAGATAGAGTGCTGGGAGACCAGAGCGGACAGGCTGCCTACAGTGAAAGGTGAGAAACATCCTGAGGTGCCCAGCTTTCTCGCCAACTTCCTCAGATCCCTCGGCCTCCCTAAACAAACCCAGTATAGCCTCCCCAGCCCCTGCTTCTCACCAAAGTAGGGCTCACTGGGACAGCCCTTTATCTTCACCCCTTTGGGCCCAGTCTCAATGAGAAAATGGCGGACCAGCTGTTCCAAAGGGTCCCCTGAGAGGCCAGGAAAGGAGAGAATGGCTTTATCAGATTCCAAGTTCCCCTGTTCTCCCGTTCTCTGGGAATCTTTCCAGAGCAGGAGAGTCACTTCCTGTTCCTCCCCACCAAGTGGGATGACCTACCCCCACCTTCCTTGTTTTGCCTCTGTCTCTGCCCCACTCCACTCCCCTTTTCCCTCAGGTTTGGGCATCCTGTACCTTTCCAGGGCTGGGCACTGGGTGGGGGTGTAGCCACCTTGAGTGCCAGCCCATAGGCTCCTTGGAATGAATGACTGTCTCTGATCAGGAAGGCCCCAGGGTCCTTGTCCTTCAGCAGGGCGATGGCTGGGGGAGGCAGGAGGAGCAGTTTGCACAGTGGCTGACTGAGCCTCACGTAGCCCCACTGCTCTGCTAGACAGCTCCCCGGGCCATTCGCCCTAACAGCTGTGGTGGTGTTGGGCATCTGAGTACAGAACTTTAGCATTAACAGGGCACTGACAATGGAGTCTAAACCACCTTGGGACCAGAGCCAAGAACCACCTGCTAGAGAGAGGCTCGGCCTAGAGTAAACGCCGAGACGGGGAGGAGGCAGCAAGGGCGTCAACTAGAAGGCTGGACTGGGTCCAAAGCCCAGATAGAGCCCTAGAGGGTGGGAGGGGTGGGGCAGGCTGGCTTCTCACCTTGATCACGGGACAGGTGTGGCTTGTACCAGAACTTGGACGTATCCTGGACAAACTTGACATTGCTCTGGCTCTCTTGCATGGGGGGGTCTAGGACAGGGAGGGAGTGAGTTTGGCCCCAGGGGTACCCAGTCACCACACCATGCCTCTCTCTGGGAAAAAGGGTTCTCGCAAGGTGGCTCCCCTTCCCACCCTCTCTCCCTCCCTCAAGGTCTTTATACCTGGGGGGTGGGGGACATTATCTGGGAGCTGAGGTGCAAAGGTGACATGGTGACTGGTGCTTCTGGCTGGTGGTGATGCCTGCTCTGGGCCCCAGGGGCCTGGTTGTTGTCCAGGCCCCGGCAGGTGGCGCTTCTCAGGAAGTGGGGGCTGGGTAGGGCCACTGATATCATAGGATGCAGCCAGGGGGAAGGCAGGAGTGGGTGAGCTCTGAGGTGGCTCTGGGCTGGCCACAAGCCAAGGCATCTGGGTAGGCACAGGGGTGAGCGGGGACCCATCTGGGCTGTCTGGGGGGTCACGAAGGCCCTGCCAGGGGGCATGGCGGAGGCCAGGCAGTGTGGTGGGCACAGGACCCCTTGGACTGGCACTGTCAGAGCGGCCCCCCGGGCTCCTCTCTTGAGGCCAGTCATTGGGTGAGCTGGCAGAGGAGGTTGGGGAGAAGGGGCTAGGCGCTGGAGGCTCAAGTCCACTTCTTGCTGGCAGCTCAGCAGCCTTTTCAGTGCCTCCCTGAGATACAGGTGATAAAGCCCCACCAGGACTAAGTCTCTGAGTGGGTACCAAGGTGGGGGACCTGGTGTCCTGCCGTCGGGCACTGTAAAAAGGAGGGCAGGTGGTCAGCAGGGCCTCAGAGCCCCCATTGTGAGCTGTTCCCCACCCCTAGCCTTCAGTGCCTGCTTGGGCAAGGAGGTACCTGCCTACCTTTCTTTGCCCTGAACTGGGCTGCTGGTATGCAGGGGTGTAGAGGGACCAGACAACTCTGAAGAGGCACTGCACTGGGCATCTCGGGGAGACCGAGGCAGGGTACTGTGCCCACTGGGTCCCTCCCTCCAGGACACTGGCTCAGGTGACTCTGCAGGGAAGGGGAGAAGAGAGGCTGTAAGTCAGGAACAGGCCTTCTGTATGGTGTAGCTCTTTCTCACTCTGTGCCTTCCCCACCATCCTCCAGGACCCTCCTCTGCCCTGGGCACTCCCCACCCCAGTGCCCCTTACCTGCAGATGTCAAGGGTCCTGCTGGGGCTAGGTGCCCAGGCAGCGGATACCTGTCCCCTCCCTCCTCTGCAGGGATCTCGTAGCTCAGCTTCCTGGATGGTGGGTAGGGAGGGCTGCCCGGGGAAATGGAGCCAGCCCGTGGGGAGTGGGCACTAGGGCTGGGATACCCTCTGCCCTCACCTGGAGACCCACAGCTGTGAGGCACCCGGCCATATGCTGGGCAGTAACTGGGAACTGCTCCTCCGTAGCCATATGTCACAAGAGCAGGGTAGCCTGGATGCCCATACCTGCCTTCAGGGCACATGGCGTAGGAGCAGCCCTCATGCCCTTCCTCGCCTGCCTTGGGTGGCTTCAGGCAGCTGTAGTCAGGCATTGGGACATGGTGATGCCCGCAGGCCGGCACCAGCAGGGGCAGTGGGTGCCCAGACCGTACTGGGTGTAGGAGAGACTTGCCAGCCTCGCTCACCCACCCCTCTCCAGCCTCCCTCTCCAGTCGAAGCCCATATAGGGCTGTCGTGGGTAGAGCCAGCTTCTCCTCACAGGCAGGGCAGGAGCATAGGGCAGGCAGCCCAGGGTCCTCCAGGATCATCACCTCCCGGTAGCCAGGGGAGCGGTAGCTGAAGTCCCCACTGGCCGGTTTCCCCGGCTCAGGGGGGTAGGGGTATGGCCCCTCGGACAGTGATCGGCAGAGGCGCCGCTTCTCCACAGAGGCCTCGGCATAGCCCTGGGTGGGCCCCTCATAGCCCCCATAGGCCAGCCGCCGCCTCTCCAGGGTTCCCTCTGGCCGGTAGTAGCCCCCATTGGGGACCCCAAAGGGTTCTCGGTAACCCTGGCGGCAGGAGCAGTGACGGCTGAGGGCAGGTCTGTGGCCTGAATATGTTCCAAGGTGGGCACCTCCACCCATGGCGGGCTGCTCTTCGTCATCCAGGATAGCTGTCTCGCGCCCAGCCCCCCGGCCCCCGCTGGCCACTCCACAGCCTCCCAGGAGGCGATCTAACTCCTGCCGCTCAGCAGCCGTTGGGGGTGGCCGGCCAGGGGACTCTGTGGCTGGCTCCGTGGTCAGTGTGGATGAATGGCCAGAGTCGCTGCTGACAGACAGCAGTGGGGGTGGGGGTGGCTCTGGAGGGGGTGCTGGTGGGGTCTGGCGGGGGGCTCGCTGCACCTGGGCATAAGGACTGCCATCTAGGGGGCCACAGGTATGGGTCAGGGAGCCTGAGTGGGGAGAGGATCAGGGAGGGAGAGCAGGCAGAGAAAAGAGAGAGAATTAATGAGAGGGGACAGTGCTGGAGACTCCGGCTCAGGGGGTGTCTTTTGGGAGGTAGATCTGCCTGGGGAGGAAGGACTGTGCCCCCCAAACCTTCCACCACCCCTGGGCCTGCTGCACACACCATCCACACTGTCCTCATGGTGCTGGTTGAAGTTCTCATAGGAGTCCCAGCGCACAGCGGGCTCTGTGGTGTTGTAGTCAACAGTGACCGAGGGGTCATTCCGTGGGGTATTGCCTGCGGAAGGCCCAGGTGGTGAGGAGCAGGGAGACAGCTTTCAGCCCCAACCCCAGGCCCTGCTCTTACCTTTGATCTTCTCGGGGCTGGAGGAGAAGACAAACTCCACTGAGGCTTGGAAGGGGAATCTCTCATCTGTGAGGAATGGACAATGAGAAGCCAGGTCCCCTGCCTGCCCTCACCTGGGCTCCAGCCCCGACACAACTTGTCTCTAACTCACCAGTCCAGGCCTCATCCAGCTGGTCCTTGGGAAAGGTGAGCCGTGATCCATGGATGGTGCATGTGTGGAACTGGACTCGGAACACAAGGGTCCGGTCTGTCCCCCGGCCACCCTTGTGATAGCATGTCACCTGGGAGAGGGAGACTGGGATCAGGCCCTCATGTCTACTTACGCTTTCTCGGTGCTTCCACTCTGGGGACCGTCTGGCCACAGCTCTGCCCTGCTTCCACCTCAAGATGACCCCCATCTAGGGGACTCCTTTTTCACTCTCTAATCTGGCTTGAATTTATGATTCACCGGAGATGGTGAGACAACACCAGCCCCTACCCCATACCTAAGACTCCCCTTGTTGCCAAGGCCCCCTCACCATGATGTCGCCTTTGAGGAGGAGGGCTGGCTCCAGGCTGATGCAAAGCTGCTGAGGACCAGGGCCTGCAATATGACTGTGGAAGAGAGGAGAAGGCAGAGCTGAATCAGGGGTAGCTGTGAAGAGTCAGGAGGGAGCTGGGAGATGGGAGTCTGAGCCCTGAGTGAGAGACCTTTAGCTGAACCTCAGCTTCCCCTTCTGTAAAATGGATTCCATGGTGGTTTAGTTTTCAGGTTCAGAGGCTGGAGCTGGAGGCCCAAGTATCTGAGGAAGCTGGAGAAAAAGGACTCCAGGGAGCAGGGGCCCAGGGGAGCAGGGGCCTGGGAACACAGCACTCACTAGATTCCAGATGTGTAGACAAGCTGCATGGACTGGTAGATCTTGAGGAAGGGCTGGAAGCCTGAGTTGGGGGGGTGGGAAGGGGCAAGAAGAAGGCACATGAGGGGTGCTGAGTGGAGGGGGTGGGGGATAGCTCCTCATGGAGTAGCTCCCAGGTAGACTCACCTGTGCCAGGTTCAAAGGCTGGCAGCATGGGCATGAGCACATAGTGCAGGAAGAGAGGGCTGCTGTTCATTCTGATGGAGCCAGACAGCAGACCACTGAAGTAGCTGATATATCTGGTGGGGGGTATATCAAGGAAAACATAAGCCCCTTCCTCTGGAGGTCCCCTTGTATCATTTCAACTGTGTACAACCCCCACTCACACTTGGAAGGGCTGCCCTTCTCCTCAGTACTTCCTTCTTTTTGCAGCCAGAAAGTTCTTCCTTGTATCTAACCTCAATTTTTCTTGCTGCATCAAAGGTTTTGTACTTGTTGCCCCCTTTGCCCAGAATGCTCTTCCCCCAGACCTTTGTCTTATAGAGGCAGGCCCTGACTATCTGGCAAGTCTCTCTACCAAAAGACAGCTTTATTTTCCTCATAGCACTTGTCATCATCCAAATGATCTTGTCTATTTGTCACAGGTTTCTTGCCTTTTACACTACTAGAATGTAAGCGCCATGAGAGCAGGGACCTTGTTTATCCTGAATTCTCAGCACTTGGCACAGTGCCTGGCATATCAGAAGTGCACCATGAAGGTGTGCTATGTGAATGAGAAAAACTTGGCCTTGGTAGCCATGGAGGGAGCTGCTCCACCAGCCCATCCCCACCCATGCTACTCACCGGCGCTGGGAGGGCTGCAGCTCTGTGGCCACCTTGTCCTCACAGAACTTCCGCATAGTAAGAGTGGCCAGCGCCTGGTCTGCCCTGAGAAAAGCGGAGGCAGTTCAGGGGATGAGGACCTGGCCTCCATCCTGGACTCCCATCCCTAAGCTCCAGGGGAGAGATGAGAGGGGCGACCCTCCCCCAAGTCTAGAGAAAGTCTAGAGTTGTGGTAAAGAGAACTAGAAACCCCATGTAAAGTCACTTTACTAGTTGTTGGACCTCAGGCAATTGTACCCTGAACTTTAGTTTCCTCATCTGTAAAATGGGGCAATAAGACCATGTTATGGGTTGAATTGTGTCCCCCCAAAGATATGTACCTCAGAATGTGACCTTATTTGGAAATAGGGTCGTTGCAGTTGTAATTAGTTAAGATGTCATACTGGAGTAGGGTGAGCCCTTAATCCAATATGATTGGTGTCCTTAGAAGAAGAGAAGAGACACAGACACACAGACACACAGGAAGACGGCCATGTGACGACGAAGGCAGAGATTGGAGTGATGCAGCTGCAAGCCAAGGAGCATCAAGGGTTGCTAGCCACCACCAGAAGCTAGGAAGAGGCAAGGAAGGATTCTATCCATAGTCTCAGAGGGAGTGCAGCTCTGCTGACACCTCAGTTTTAGACTTCTAGCCTCCAGAACTGAGACAATTAATTTCTGTTGTCTTAAGCCACTTAGTTTGTGGCACTTTGTTACAGCAGCCCCAGGAAACTACTACGGATCACCTGCCAGGAACTGTGGTGAGGTACAAGTGAGGAAAAGGAGGTGGCAATGTCAAGTTTATAGTAAATGGCTCTCTGAACACAGAGGTGGGCTTCAGGGGAGATGGGTTCCTCAAGGACCAGCAGGAGGAAGGGCCATTGAGGAAGGGGACACTTGGGCGGGGAAGCCTCACCCTGCAGAGATCTTGCTGTAGTGCATGTAGGCAGAGACAATGACCCCGAGCTTGCTCTTGCTCCCCTGAGGATAGAGACAGGGATGGAGGGCCTGCTGGGGCCCCAGGCTGAGGGCGCCCCAGCCCTGCAAACCCAAGGTCCCAGCCCACCTTGCAATATAGTACGACCACATGCTGTGGGTCAGCACTGAGCCAGGTCTCCATGGCTTTGCAGATGGAACACAGCTTGTCCAGCGGGGGTGCGTGCAGCTCAGGCCAGCCAAAGTCCTGGACCTGGGGAGGAGAGTGCAGGGGCGGAACTGGGGGTGGGGGCCATAAGTGAAGAGAAATGGATGAAAAAGGGACAGGGTGTAGCGGTCTGGGGCGAGGTCAACCTATTGGCTGTCCACAACATCCTCAACACTTTCCTCACTTTTACAATGGGTCCTACCTGCTGCACCATGCTTTGGGGTGTCTCAAGTATATGGCATATGGGAAAGTTCTTAATAGTGAAGAAGATGCCAAATGCTACTATTAGTAACGAGGAAGCTGGGGGCTTCTGGGTGGGAGTGATTCAGGGTAACGGCTTTAATCCCTTCCTACCTTGGGGTTTAGGCGAGTCAGATCATGTCTTTTCTCTGAAAGGTTGAAGAGCTGCAAGAAATTGGGGGGCTTTAGATGGAAGTGACCTCAAGAAGCGAGGCACGGCGATGCGTGGAGGTGGTGTCACCCACTGTGACCCTAAGTCTTTCTTCAAAATGAGGAGGTTGCTAAGGCCTTGCCCAGCAGTGGCAGCCCGATGGTCTTCGCTCCCAGGCGGTATCCCCTGCACCTCCGGGCCCCGCCTCCGAGGGTTTGACGTCAGCGGGTAGCCAGGGCCCATCTGGATCTCCCAGGTCTCTCATTAGCTGATTGCGGCAGGCCCCGCCCCTCACCAGGTACTTGTCACGGTGCTTGGATTGCAGCACGTGAGCCAGCTCACGCAGGTGGCCTCGGTGTCGCTGCTCGTCGGGCCGTGCAGGGAAGGCGGCAGCCAGTATCCGCTCAGTCACGTAGGTGAGGTCCAGGTCCCAGCGGCGCTCCATGAGCGGGTCCAGGCTGAAGCTCCTGGGAAGAGAAGCCTGCGTAAGAAACGGAGGGGGCGGGCTCCCGGAGGGGTCTGGTATAATGGAAGAGTGTCTAGACCGCGGCAGGTGAGGCCTCCCGGGTCCCGAAAATGAATGGAATCGTCTGGGAGGGGTGGAGGGCTGTCCCAGAGAACTTCTTTGGGGGTGCGTGAGAACCGCGGAAAGGGCTCATGTGGGATCACTCCCGGGGCCCTCACTTACCTGGGCAGAGTGCTGCGCTGCTTTGAGTGGTTCAGAGACTTGGTGGATCCCTGGTGGATAACATGAGATGATGCGCATCTCTTTGGGTGCCCCCCGCCCCACCACTCTAGGCTCCCCACTCCAGAGTTCCATGAACTTTTGTCCCCAGAAGAAACCTAGGTCCTTATTCCCAGAGCTACCTTCTTTCACCCCTTCTCCAGCATCACCTTACCAGGTGCTCTATGCGCCGCACGGGGGCCGTGTTTCTCCGCTAGAGGGAGATGGGGGAGGAAAAGGGAGTGGTTAGGGCAGGGGCAAGGACCAGTGTGGTTCTGGGGATAATGGAGACAGCCTGCCAGTGTCCCTTGTGAGGGTTGTATTGGGCAAGGGGAGAAGAATTCTAGTCTCAGCAGGTCCAGAGGACAAGAAGAACAGAGGGCCCAGACGTATTTTCCCTTTCCCTCAGGCTGACCAATATCCACAGCAGTCCATTCAAGGTAACCTCCCGCTCCCCGCCCCCAACCTTTGGACACCGAAGCCAGGTTCCTTGCCTCCCCCACCTCATCCCAGAGCACACTCACCAGCTCTGCAGGAGGCAAGGCCTGACAGGACGAAGTCACCTGAAAGAAGACCCGAGTGAGAGCCTAAGCTCCTGGTGAAATGGGCTCTCCTGGACTCGAGGATGGGGCCACCCCTCAGTTTCAGCAAGAAGGTGGAGGGGCTGTCAGGAGATGGGCACAGGCTCCAGCTGAGGTTCCTCTATTTAAGGGAGCCTCCCCTCTGGCCTCTCGGTCCCCCACCCCCACGCCCCCCACTTGTTGCTCTTGGCTCTTAGCCCCATGCCCACACAGACCCCCATTCATCCAGCTACAGGGCAGGAGTTATATATAGAGCCATACAGGCAGTCCATGGCCAGGGACGGACACTGGCCTCTTTCACCATTAGACCCCGCCCTTGGGTACAGAGCTCCCCAAAGCCAGCTCCAAGGTCCTGGGAACCCCTGCACTGCAGGAAGAGGACCAAAGAACCTCCTCATGATGGGGCTCGCAGGTCCCCAGTTGACAATGGGGACAAGCTGATGTCCACAGCTTGTACCTTCTGCCCAGCCTCTCCAGGGCCCAGGATGAGACCCACCCAGGCATCCTGAGGCCCCTTCCCCAGAGGGAAGGCACAGCCCATCCGGCGGCCCAGTCTCTGAAATCCTGCTCCCCTACCCACCCACCCCACCCTTCCTCCTCCTCATTCTCCTCCTCTTCCCCACCCCCACCCTCTCGCCAGCTGCAGCCTGGGCACAGCACCAAGACAAACGCTGTCGCTGTCTCGTCCACTCGCCTGGGCCAACCCTCCAGGGGGTGGAGTAGGGTGGTTCTTAAAGGGCCCAGTGCAGCACCCTCTCCCATGCCAGCAGGGGTTCTCCAATGATGAAAGGAGTGGAGGGTTGATGCCAGTGTAGCTAGAGAACCCTGATTCAGAGGAAGAACAGACCCGGTCTCCCTCCCCCACCTGATACTCACCTTTGCTTCACATTTTCTGTGTGTGGCCACCTTGCAGACTAGAGGAGGGTAGGAGGAAGAGGGGTTAGCAGGGGTCTATAGGGACAGCAGAAGAGGTGGCCCTCTCCCATCTCTCCAGGCCCTAGAACCAGACCCTGGGACTTCCAGGACTGCATTGAGATGGGGTGAGGGAACAGGGGCAGAGAATGGTAGTGGGGTACTACTTCCCAGGCCAGGATGGGAGAGAGCCAGGATAATGTTCTAGGGTAGGTGGGGGTGATGAGGAAGGGGGTGAGAAAAGCCACCAGTCACAGGTCAGGGTGGGAAGGTGTTGGAGAGTATTGGGTCTCCTGCTTTGCTTAGAGTGTCTGTCATGGAGAGCAAGGGCTGTTTGGAACAGAAGCAGCTGCCTCTCTGCTCTCATGTTGCCCAGTCAAGGGGCGGCACGCACATTATGGTTTATGTTCTGTGCATCTGCCAGCTGGAGTTGTGTGACACAGTCATGCTGGGTGAAGGCTCTCAGAGTCACAGAACAGGGTGCCTCACCTTTGCACGAGACGCCCGTCCCATCGATGGTCACCTTACACACTGCACAGACTGGCGGTTTCTTCCGGAAAACCTTCTCCCGGAAGCTATGCGGCTCAGCTTTCCTAGGCTGGGTGAAGGGACAGACACAGACAGAGGTGTCCATTCCCAGCCAGCCCGTCTCTGGGACTGGGCCAAGATCTTAGGACTATACTGGTTCCTTTCTTCCTCCATCCCAATTAAAGTCCCCAAACTCGTAGGACACACTTGGCTACAGCTGTTTCCGGCCAGTTGTGGGGCCTGTCCTCTACAGTGCATGGAATCTGGCCCCTTGTGTCACTGTCGCTGGGTCGTTTCCTCCCCAAGGGATCACTTAGACCCCTCATGTGGCCCTGGCGTGTGACACCCTTGTGGTCACTGCCACCCCAAACCCGAGAGATTTCCTCCTGGTAGGGGTGCTCTCTAACTCTCTTCTATGGGGTTCTGTTTCTCCTCCCATCTTGCCTTCCTCAGATGGGGGCCCATGTACACAGTGAGCAGCAGGGGGTCCAGAAATGAATGTAGGATGTCAGTCACGTAGCACCAGACTGACCTGGCAGGGAGTGGCCTCAGCCAGCTCTGCTCCCCTGACTCCTGCTGTCCCCATGCTCTAGGCAGCTGACATTCCCTCCCCTCCCCAGAACATGTTTACTCATTGTGCATTGAGGCGGCAGGCAGCAGTTGTGTAAGGAGGCGGGTGGTAATACTGAAAGGAGAGGCAGAGGCATGACATCGGGGAAAATATTGAGCTGCCTCGCTACTTACTTCTGGCTGTAGGGAACACCCCATTGTTTGAGGAAGGTCAAGTGGGATTTCAGCATTGAATGGGGGAAGGGAGTGGACCAGATGCTGTGTTGGGACCCTTCCCACCCAGAGGTGCAGTGAAGCAGGAGGCTGGGATGCTCGCTGTGGCCCAGGCCTCCTCCTACTGTCTCATCCCTCCCACTGTGGTTCACTCCTCCCATCCTGTCTGGGGACCATTTACCTCCTTGCCTCCTCTCTCTTCTACCCATTTTTCTCCTCCTCTGGAGTTCAAATTCCTGCCCCATGCCCCTTCTATAGTATTGTTTCATGTTGCCCTGAGCTGCCGCTTTTGGGGTAAGACTGAGAAACTGTGGAGAAAGGGAGTGATGGGGCCTCTAGGCCTCCCAGCATGGGGACCTAGGCAGTACCTCTGGTCTCTTGGCTGTCCATCCCTGAAGCAGCTGGATTAAACCAGTAGCTGAACTCTCCTGGGCTGGATCAACCTTGCCAGACCCACTAGGAAACTTGGGTACAACTAGTATGAACAGCATACACGGATGATGTCAGCGGAAAGCAAACCCCCAGTGTCTAAGGCACTCCTGAGACCTGGCCACCTCTTTTCTTTCCTTCACCAACCCCTCCCCATTTCCCCCAAACCTCTTGGCTCAGGGAAGGCGCCTGATCTCTTAGCCCTGCTCTGGGGATCCAGGATGGTATCCGGAAAGGTCCTACAATGAAGTATACCTGGAAGGTATATGGGGGGCCAGGACCGTGAGGGTTGGCCTGGGCTAGGGCAGGGAGGTTATAGAGGAGCCAAAACAGACGCCAGGTTCTGCTCTAACCCAAACTTCTGCTGCTCACACCACAGCCCTGGCAACCTCAAAGGGGCAGAATGAGGGGGATGCAGGGCAAAGGGAGAAGGCTGAGGGGGAGGGTCTGGCCTGAGTCTTGGACCCCTCCTCCACTGTCCACACCTCCACCCCGCCCCTCCTCTGCCCAGTTAGTGGGCACTCCTACCCTGCTGGTGGCCCGGCTGCTGTCCCTCCTCCCCAGGGCTCTGAGCAGCCTCTCCACGGGGCCGCTGGACTTCATGGTGTCCGGCTGGCTGAAGTGCTGGCCGTGGGGCCAGAACAATGCTGGGGCCTGGCCTGGGGCTTCCTGGAAGCAGCCTGGCGGAGGCAGCCGCTTCCCTTGGGTGGAGGGTAGGCTGTCTGGCTGGTGTGAGGAGAAGCCCAGCCCTGGAAGCGGAGGGGAGTACAGGCGGGAAGGGGGCAGGTCGCTGCTCCAGGAAGTGGGGTGGGGGAGGATGTGGGGGAGGCCAGGAGATCAGATTCCCAGGATCTACCCTGCTGGGAGTGTCAACCCAGCATCTTTTGCCCTCCACATCCCCTGCTCTGGAGCTGCCCCATGCCCAGGGATTCACCTCATCCAGGGATCTGCAGGAATCCTGAGATCCAGTCACTAGTGGGGCAGGGCAGGGTGGGGGCAGGGTGGGAATTTAGGTCTCAGGGCAGGGCTCAAGGGCCAGCGGGGAACACCGTGTCCTGGCCAGGCCAGCCTCCCAGCCAGAACTCTCAGGCTCTCTGGGGACTTCCAGTGAGGACGGAGGGAAGCTAGGAGTCACTACTCCAGCCAGCCCAGGATCCGGAGTGTACCCTGAGGGTGAGGGAAAATGGGACTGAGGGCTAGCTTCCTGACTCAGTTTCACCGGTTGTGAAGTAGAAAAAGGAAAATGAGCTCACCTTTCCCCCTTCCCCCATTCACACTGGAAGGCAAATTCCAGCCAGATGACAGCTTTGCCCACAGGAGTGATCCATTCTGCCACAGCCCAAGGCATTTGAGGCCCTTCTCCTGAGAGCCCCCAGCTGCTCAGCTCCTGACAGTTCCCCACTCACTCATTTCCTGGGCTTGTTTCTTCCTGATATCTCAGATCCTTAGGCCTTCTTTAGAGCCCTGCCACTTAGGCCCTCCGCCCCAGGCCCTAGGGCTGCCTCCCTCCCCCAAAGCCTGAGTACTACCTTCATGGCTTTCCCAGTTCTGCTCTTCTTCCTTAGCAGCTGTTCCAGGACCTGAGGACTGGACAGGAGGTCCCCCTCCCAATGCATACTCTACCCCCCTCCGTGGGCCTCCTGCCTCCCTCCTGGGAACATGGC